TGTATTTATATCTCTTCATTGCTGATCTTTTATCTCGACTATTAATGACAGCAACAGCTAAGAAGAGAATCACAAGATATAAGATCAAGAGGAAAAGCCCCATAATCAGTCATCTTCTATTTGCGGATGATTCCTTAATTTTCTATCAAGCAATATTGGAGGAGGTGAGTCATTTGCAATCCATTTTACAAATTTATGGGGAGAATTTTGGGTAGCGAGTTAATTTTTCCAAGTTTGTTGCCATTTTTAGTCCAATACCTCACTTGAAGTCAAGGAACAAATCTGTAATAAACTTGGAATTCAAAGAGAATCTATGGTTTCTAAATATCTTGGCCTGCCAACGTCATAGGATAGATCTAAAAAGGATAGCTTGAAATATGTGGTGGATAAAGTACAAAAAAAACTCACTCACTGGAAAAAAAAACCTTTGATCACAAGTTGGTTGAGAAATTCTTACTAAAGCTGTTGCTATGGCAGTTCCAACTTTCACCATGTCTTGCTTTTTGCTTCCTATTTGCATTTGTCGAAATATGAATCGGAGTATTAAAGACTTTTGATGGGACAACAAGCTGATGAAAAAAAGGTCTGTTGGGTCAGTTAGAAGTGTCTCTCCAAGAGTAAACATGCAGGAGGTATGAGATTCAAAGATCTTTATTGTTTCAATCTTGCTATGTTGGCTCAGCAGGCATGACGAATCTTGCTAAATCCTAACGCCTTATGGGTCCGAGTTTTAAAAAGCTTATATTTTTCAGATTCATCTTTTCTCGATGCCCAAAAAGGAAGTCATCCATCTAGGCATGGTCAAGTATTTTGCAAGGTAAGGATATTGTTTAGGTTGGAGTAAGATGGAATGTAGGAAATGGGAAAGATATTTTGATTTATTAAGACAACTGAATTCCTACCTTACCCAAATTCAAGGTAACCTCCCTCACAGTGGATACTTCACCATTCTCTCATGTATGTGAGTTGCTCGATAATTATGGGGAGTGGGATGTTAATAGATTAAATGCATGTTTTAGTAATGTGG